ATGGGATTATTTTTATAGCTGCCTCAAGAGGACGCGAAGAGGACGTGCGACATGTCGAGCGAAAGATGTTGGATTTAGTATTGAGAAGTTAAAACGGACGGGGCATGGTGAATAGACCAACGTGTCTGACTGAGCCTGGTGCTACGTTCCAAGATAAAGAGGGGAAGAGTTGCATGCATGAACGACATGATGATTACTCGTACATAGACAATGAATTTTAAGTTGAATGAAAACAGACTATAGAGTCATACAAAAGCGATCAACGCACTCTCTCAAGTCTCACGCTGAAGCTGCTCACAGTTTCTGATCATAGGTCTATAGGTCTCAGGAAGAATACGGTCAAGCACATACGACCAAAGCTCGTAGAGAATACGGGGTCCCGTCTGCTCCCCCATCGTCAAGCTGCGAAGCGCCGGATTAGTAGTTGGGTCGGTGACGACCAGCGAATCCCCGGTGTTGTATGTTTTTTGGTGTCTTCGATTTTTGACGATATTCAGATTTCCAAATACGGTAATTGGCTAGGTGGGGCAGAGTCTCTTGCACCACGCACGTGGTGCGAGGCTGAGATTGACTCACTCACAATGGCCCTAGTATACCTAACAAGCGTGGCTCATGACATGCAGTGAACGGTTTATCAGAAACTATCTGAGTACTAGGTACCTTAGGTATAGATTGATAGATACTCACTCACAGCACGAGGCCATCTTGAGGGGCATCCGCCGTCGTCCTGATTCGCGACTGCTCTGACGTCATACTTGCTTGACCTGCCATGTTAACCAACACCAGGAAATGGCAGGAACGTCAGCCATGGGTTCGTTCGTAGGTTCCTTGAGCAGCGTGCGGCACTCTGTTACTTTGCTCGCTGAGCTACCTTGTCTCTTGTTTATGCTTCCCTTCACTTCTGTCTTGTCCTTTCTTGTTGATTTGTGATTCTTTCCCTCGCTCCAGGCGAGTTTTTCATCTCCCCTTTATCCTCTTTTACATCCTTTATTGTTACTTTCCTGGTTTTTGTCTTTGGGCGATCATACACCAAAAATAGCTGTTACAGCATCATATTTAATGCCCCTGGTCGTTTCAGATTCGTGCTTTGCCCTCTCATCACCTCTCCTTCACGACGGCCTAGCCCTATCTCGTTTCCCTCGGCCGGTCAATCCCTGTTCATTGGGCCAACTATTCGTCCTTCTTCTGGTCATTTTCTGTTGCCACGCTTGAACTGCAGATCAGTTCGACTAGGTTTATCAAGAAACAGTTTCTGGGCATCAAGAAGACAGTCCCTTATTCGTACCTTCACGGCCACCTATACGTCACTGTCGACCCTGGACCCTGGCTCCAAACCAACTCTATCGTTCATCTTATATCTGCCTCTCGACTGCAGCTTGAATAGTCCCTTCAGCGTTATGATCACGACTGGTTAGCACTTATTATTGTTTTTTGATACTTTGGATCTGAGGCAACTTCATTCGGCAGGCTTATTGGATCCCAGTCTCAATTTCCCACGTTCAACTTCTTCATCTTGGTAGGAATAAAGTTCTCGGGTCGTGAGATGGTATCCTCGTCGAGGCGTAGAGGCGCGAGTAGCGTTTCTTCACTTTGTCGAGTATTGGTACCAGTTGTTGCCGTCGGGATTCTTCTGAGCGCCGCAGGGGCGGAAGGGGCACAAGATGCCACGAAGGGTTCACACGACGATCTTCTGCATTTCCCTGGACGAATTAGATCTCCGAACCGAGGGGAACCAAAAGATCCTAACAGGACAATTCCCTTGACCATTACCAACAAATGTGACTCAACAATCTGGCCCGGCATTGCAACACAGGCCGGCAGAGGCCCGGGAACTGGAGGATTCGAGCTCGCTCAAGGGAAAAGCAAAGACCTATGGGTCTCATGGGATTGGCAAGGTCGCGTCTGGGGTCGTACGAATTGTACTGTAAATGGTGATTCGTGTTCCTGCAAAACTGGAGATTGTTTTGGGATGTTGGATTGCGAAGCCAGTGTAAGTACTCTGTGCGGGAACAAGAATCGTATAATGCTAACCGCCGACAGGGTTCAACACCAGCAACACTCGCTGAATTCACACTGGCTGGTGGTTTGCATGGGAAGCAGACTTTCTACGATCTCTCTTTGGTTGATGGCTACAATCTCCCGATGGGCGTCAACTACATACCCGCCAAGAACACAACATTCATTCCGCCGAATCTGACCAACTGCGCCTGCATTGCGACACCTAGTTGGATCTACGCCAGCAGTCAGACGGGAACATATTACACAAACTCATCATACCCCGTCCCACTTGAAACTCGAGTCAGTAGTGACAATGCCCGAAGCTGGTGCCCATGGAAATACCTTGCTTTTCCACCCACTAAGCCTGGGGATGGCGTCTATCCTTATCCAGACGACGACATTCAACGGCCAGAGTTCTCCCCCTGTAACAGTGCATGCGCTGCGTACGGAACTGATGAGGACTGCTGTGTAGGGAAGTACCACGACCCAGATGTCTGCAAGCCATCTGCCTACAGCAAGAGAGCCAAGATTATATGCCCCGATGCATATAGTTTTGCTTATGACGACCAGAAGTCCACGTTCATTATTCCTAATGGTGGAGGCTGGGAGGTAATCATGTGCCCCAAGGGTCGCTCAACTAACATTCTGCGACAACTTGGAGATGAAATGAACGAGCTCGCCCAATCTGGCACCCTATCGGAGGTGACACAGAAGAAGCTCAGGGACGTCAGTTATATCGTAGCTGAGAGGAGCCTCGGAAACCATGTGCTACCTATCAAAGTCATGATGGCTTCAACAGCGTTGGCAACTGCAATTTGGCTACTAGTATAAGTTGTAACGGGTCTTATGCGAGAACCAACCATTGGAGCCGTGCAGTTCTCTTTTTGTCCAGGGCTCAGGCTGGTTCCTGATCTCAAGTACACTCCTTTGATGCCCGTACTGTAGAAAGGGCGCATACGAAGAAACGATAGACGATGGAGAAGAAACCGCACCATATACCTGATTAGAACGCTTATACCCCCTTTTCGATAACCTTAAATGAGAAATGCTTATTCTTGCACCTGTGCGTAAGCTTCTTAGGTTCTATCGCTCTGAGACTTGATGATTTATATCCACCCATGAACTGGTTTGCCTCGTCTTATTGTGAAGCAACCTCTATATTTGAATTCGTGCAAACGTGCCATATCGCGCGTCTATTTGCGCTGCTTCTCCTTCCGCCTCCTCTCCCACTCAGCCCTCTCCTCTTCATCACTTCCACTGAATTCAGCATCGTCGTCACTGTCGTCTGGAACATCGAGCACGGCTCCACTATGGCCGGCCGAGTTGTTGACGTTGATGAAGTCTCCGGCATTTTGATTCGCATACTCATGCTTCTGAATGATTTCGCGGAGTTCTGTGTTTGTAGGATCGACAAGCTGGTAGGGGGTTAGACGGGCCTTGTTCTTGACTCGTGTGCTGGAGCCGGCCTCAAGCATCATCTCGACGAGGGCGTTGCCGAAGGGTCGCTGCGCGGGCGGCTCTGAGTTGATCCAACGGATAGCGCTGTGGAGAGGTGTGTCGCCTTCTGAACGGTTGATGGGATCGCACTCGAATTCGGGCTGGTCGAGAAGGTGGTCAATAATTTCGTCTGAGGCGGTGGGTTAGCTCGTCTGGGTCATGCGCATGTGTGAAGGTATGTGAGGCGCACAGTTTCCGCGGGAGGCGGCTTCGTGGTAGAGATGGTTGCCCATGACAGTTGTGGTCTCGTTGAGGAGCTTTGAGATCTCGGCGTCGGACTTGTCCTCAAGACAGTCGTTGAGAAGATCAAGGTTGTTACGGCGGCAGGCTTCGATCAGAATTTCCTGAACGGTGGCGCCCTGCAGAGCGTGTTAATTCGCCGATCTATTGGGAGTATTTTGTGCCAAGCATGATGTAACTCACATCGTGCTCTTCATCTCCAGCCATGTTGAGATTTGTTGAATATCAAGTCAAGTTGGAGTACGCGAGAGCGGGGTATTAGATGTTCGGATTGACAATGACGAAGTCAAGCGCTGAAGAATCTGACAAACCCCGTTGGTAGTTCAGAAGTATTCTAAGAATTTCCGTAGGTGAGAAACGGAGGATACGCAGGCTGGTTGTGTCGTTGTGGCTTAAGGGAGGCAGTGAATATGGACTGTGCTAGGTTTTGGGTGTTTCATGTTTCGTTGGTGTTTGGAGGGGCACTGTGATGCCCAGCCTAATCCAAGTCTACCTCAGGGGAGCTCAGGCGGAAATGGCGGGGAGAGGGGAGAGGGATGGCGCTAGAACTGCCAGACCAGCCTGGGCGATAGTGGGACCAACCAGATCAAGTCAGGCAGCCTCATGCTTCTGCGGTTAGATAAAAAAAAAAAGGTAGTCATTCCATCTTCAATTCAAGATCGTTTGTCTATTCAATCGCACCTCAATCCACGACAACTACCAAATAAGAGGGCCCATCTTAAGCAAACCAACGTCGTCCCTAACCAACTAAACCGTTCCTCTCGCCCACGAGCGTAGTAACCGTCATCATGCTGCTCTGTAGGAGCCCCAAAATTGATGCGCCTCTTCCAAATTAACACACTTCAGTCTGCCCCCATTGCGCAAACATCCTCACCGTCTCCCTCACAAGTACACGAACCAACCGTCTCGAATGCCGAACTTGCCCGTTCGAACATCACATCACCGAGCCCGTCTTTTCGCGACGTATGTATGAGCGTGTCGAGAAGGAAGATGTCTTTGGCGGTCCTGGCGCCTGGGACAATGCGCAAAAGGGTCGTGTTCAGTGCCCTAACGAGGGATGCGAGGGAGATGAGGCGGCATTCTTCCAGGTCCAGATTCGCAGTGCTGATGAGCCCATGACGAGCTTTTACAAGTGCATGACCTGTGGTCACCGGTGGAGAGAAAACTGAGTTGGGGGAAGGATTGCTTTGGGTTTCGTGGCGAAGGGATTTTCTTTGTGCAAGGAGAAATGGAGTTGTGCCATCATACTTGTCTTTTAGAGGTGTTTAAGAATCTGTTCCACCAGGCGTCGCACTGTTCTTGATGACGGAATGCTTCTTTTTCTTGCGTGGAGTTTTTCGCTTTCGAGGAGTATCAGGCATGCTTTCATTCACAGCGCCATCCTGATTCCTCTTGTTGTTACTCGTGCCTTTCGTATCGTCCTGCGAAGGCCTGTTCAGCTTGGCAGGGACCTTCTAGCTCTCTCGGTGCCAATCGACTGATGCCTTCATGCCCTCCTCCATCAGTGCCCTCACGACATCAGGGCTGATAATTTGTTGTCGGAAAGTCTCCTGCTGGAGGAGCTCGAGATGCCGTAGTGTCGGGCCGGGGTACGTTAGGTACTTGAGATATGGCGGTTTGCTCCAGTATTGTAGGTAGCCAAGATATGCGACAAAGGCGGGTTGGCTGAGAAGCTTCTGGGAGGCAAGGTGGTTGAGGTAGGCCGGGTTGGCGAGGGACTGAACAAACTGCGCGTGATATCTGTTAGTTATGGGCTCATGGCGCTACTAAATGAGAGAGCAAACAAACCTCAAGCTCAACCTCGAATCGTGAATAGCCACCGTATTTGGGCTCTCGGTCTTCTTCGGCAGGCGGTTCGGGAGGCGATCCCATTGGGATGTCTTGAGAATCTCCCGTCGCCATATTCCAGGAGCTGTATCGAGAAAGACTACTTCCGAACAGTGGAATGTGGAGATCAGGGGTGAGGGTGGTGATATGGATGTAGGAGGATGTTGATGCTATGTTTGGGGGAGTGCACTTGGGGTAGAGGTCGCACAGGTGAAAGGCCCACATCTTCCATTTTGACAGTTGAAGAGAAAGGAAAAAGTCAAGAATAGGGAGCTTGTTAATACTCGACTCCAATTCCTCCCAGTCTCTGTACAATTCTGAATACTGTACAGGGTGACACTTTTCTTACTTGGTTCTATTTCTATGTACTTTGACGTCTTCTTCTCATGCCCTTGCAATGTCATTCTTCAAGACAACGCGGACGCTAGGCTTCGTCTTTTCTGTCCTTGGGAGGCACTGAATAAACATCGACGTCAGCCTGGGCTCTTAGTATACATGAAAGGTTCCTTCTGACAGTGTAAACAGAAATCCGCAAACACAAACTGGGCAGCATTATTCTTTCAAATTTATATTGACAATTATCATCTGCTGAAATACAATTACTCCTGCGGCTGAAAGCACCATCCACTCTTTTCTCGATAATAACGCTTCTGTCTCCTGACGCGCTCAAACTCAACATAAATATTGCGTTCCCATGACCGGCTTGAACTCTCTTTAGAATGTCCGAAACACCTGCTGCACAACATGTCAAGACCCGCATCCTGATCATATCCGACACGCATGGGTCGAAACCAAAGCCCAAGAATAAAGGCGGACCTACTACTGATGATGAGCTCAACGAAGGGGATGTCACGCGTGTGACGACAGGTTGGAGAGAGCCTCTTCCCTCTTCTGATGTGGCTATTCATTGCGGAGACCTCACGAAGCGAACGACAATTCCTGAATTCGAGAATACCTTCTCCGTGTTACGGTCTATCAATGCCCCTCTCAAGCTGGTCATTGCAGGCAACCATGACATGGCGCTTCATGATGATTATTGGATCAATGAGTTTGGTGGTCCAGCGGACACGCTCGACAAGGTCAAGACTATTCTTCAGGAGGCTGAGAAAGATGGTGTTCGGTACTTGACAGAGGGCGTTCATGTGTTTACCCTGCAGAATGGCGCTCTGTTGAAAGTGTATGCGAGTCCGTGGACTCCTTCGTATGGTGGCTGGGCATTCCAATATGACAACGGACACGACTTCAACATCCCCGAGGAAACCGATGTGGTCATTACTCACGGTCCTCCACAAGGTGTCTGCGACTTTGCAGGCATGACTGGGTCCCACGCTGGCTGTCCCGATCTCCGTGCCGCTGTTGCCCGGGCCAGACCCAAGATTCACTGCTTCGGCCATATTCATGAAGCTTGGGGGACGCATCATGTGACATGGAAAGACAATGACATTGATGAGAAACTGCTAAGAAAAGTCGGGCTCAAGGGGCTACGACCAAATCGCGTGACGCAGAACGAGGAAGAGGCCAATGCAACGAGGGTGAAGCTAATCGAGATGAGCAAGCAAAGAGCTGCACACCTGGACCTCACTCAGGGTGACAGTCGCGTGGTTCAGGGGAAACAAACATTGTTTGTCAACGCGGCGATTATGGATATCAGATATAGACCTATACAGCTACCGTGGCTGATTGATGTAGACTTGGTGAGAGCTGGACCGTTGTGAGAGATCCTGGACGAATGACTGCGGATACATCATCATCATCATCACTACGAATCATAGCATAGATAGATATACATCAACTGAAAACCTATAGGTTCAATGCTTGTTTATTACTAGCTAAGCTGGTACATGTCTATTACTACTTTTCCCATCACTCTCGATGGCAAGCTAATCAACCATGGGTACCCCTGGGAGAAGAAGAAAAAAAGAGAAGTGTTACACTATCCATGGATCTTTGAACAACGCATTATTAATTTCCTTGTATCGTAAATGTCAATTGACTGCGTCCCATGAAATGCTCCGTGGCGAAGATGAAAATATACGCAAACAGGTATCAGAGCTCTCTTACAGAGCAAGGACAGCGCCGAGAGCAGCGAGGAGACCGAAGGCAGGGCCAGCAACAGCAGCAGCGTTACCGGTAGGAACGCTGCTGGCGCTGCCACTCTCGCTGCCGGAACCAGAGCCAGAAGTTCCACTGGGGGTGGAAGCTCCGTGAGTCTTGGTGGAGGTTCCGTTGCCGGGGTGGGGAGTAACGGGGACAGCGGTGGACTCCTCGGGGATGCTGGAGAAGATGGCGGGGACACTGGCGGAGCCAGTGACGGAAGTGTCGATGCTGACGGTGACGGCGCCGGTGGTGGCAGCAGCAGAGGTAGCTGTAGGCTTGCCAGAGCCGGCGGTCTTAGCGAACTCCTTGCAGGCCTCGGCGGCAGCGGACTGGGCCTTGAGGAGGTCTTGAGCCTCGCAGGCCTTGGTCAAGCAAGGGGTGATGATGGGGAGGAGCTTCTCCTGGAAATCGGAGGCGCATTGGCAGGCGGTGTCCTCGAGCTTGCAGCCGGCCTTGGGGATGTTCTCCTGGAGACATTTGAGCTGTAGGATGGGTGTTAGTCGGGTGCTGTCATTGGATGGACGTGTTCCATTGGCTCAGGGCGACTTACAGCACACTCGGGTTGACCACCGAAGTCCTGAGCGGCAACGAGGCCAGCGGCAGCGAGGAAGAAAGTAGCCTTCATCTTGAATGTTACTGTAACTAATAAACGATTGAGTGAAAGCGAAAGCGGGAGAGCTTTGAATTATAAAGTCAACGATTAGACTAGACAGGTGCAAATTCAATTCAATTCAATTCAACGAGAGGGATGTACAGGAGACAAATAAGACAAGTCTCGGAACAGGCTGGCATCACCTCCTTATATACAATGTAGTAGAGTCTTGCAAACTCAAAAAGTCCCGATACTTTATTAGCCCAGTCAATAGTGACAGACAGCAGACGTCAACAAGTGGCTGGACTACGGACGAATACAGGCTAAGCTGCTGCTATTGGGGTGACCATTGACCTGATCCTGATCCAATGCTAAGCTCTAGCACAGCTTCAGGCTGCAGAGGTGCCCCTGGACCCCTGGTTCAATCCCCCCCCTCCCCCCCAAAACCCCGAAAAGCCGACACCAACCTTCTGTGTACTGTACATAAAACGCCTGGACCGACCAATCATGCCGAGTCCTGCGGCATAGGCGCTGACCTTTTTCGGTGGGTCTACAGCGCTGTTAGAGTTCTAATGGCCTGTCAATCACCATATTTCAGTAACATTCTCACAACTCCCGTAATTGTCGGGTGTCATCGTCTGAGGTTTCATAAAACTCTACTTGTTTTTCTTTCTTCTGGTATGGAGTATCTTCCGTTATCTTCTCCAACAAGCGTCATTTTGTGCTCGGCAGCGACTTCCAGAGCAAGGAAAATTGAGTTTATCCATGTCTTTTCTAGTTCTCTCATCCCCTATAATAAATCTGCTACTCTTTGCCTTGTTTGTGCCGGTTGCCGTTTGGGGGCGACGCCATCTTTGCCCATGGCGTTTCTTGGTATGCATCCGTGCATGTTTGAAGAGGAGGGGGAAGTCTAAATTGGTGCTACCCTCGAAACTAGGGATTTATTGCCCCGGACAACATCACAACAGTCAATGTCTTTCCAGATCTAGAAACATGCGTACGTCGAATGTAGGTCGGTATGTATTGAATACGAAGGAGCCTACCATAACTTTATTTCTCCATATTAAGGTTTGATGATGATGCTCAGGTAGTTCATGCATCAACATTGCTCCTTTCGTCTGTTTACTCCTTTTTTTCTTTTTTTCTTTTTCAACGAGAAGCTTCCTTTGCTTTCTATCACTTATGTGTTCTCTCACTAAACTTACAGAGCATACCACCCAGAACAAGATAGGGCTAGATATTAGAAGAAACATGCATACTATGTATAAACAACGGTCAACATGCTGACGCTATGAAACGCCACTAAACGACACAAAGACCAGGATGAGAACATGATATGCAGCACCATCTCAGCTTCTGCAGCTCCCACACACTGAATCAATCGTGGCAACCTTGAAGGCTGAGCTGGCTTACTGTTACTGTTTGCTGTTGTCTCTTCTGGATGTCATCTTCACATCCTCAAGCCCATTCATCAACGTCAGCTTATTGCCCCCTCACGCATTGTGCATGCGCGTACTTGCATACAAACACTTACGCGTCGTCCCAAAGTGCCTCCTCAGTGCCTCACAGGTAGGTAGGCAGGACTTTTTTAGCGGCCTTGTACGGATAAATTGGCTTGGATCCAATGCTTCCCAACAAAACATCTTCCTTCTCCCTCGCTGCTATTGGTGGATGTCGGCTTCTAATTCGGGGAGGTGTCTAGACAGTGCAACTCCACGAAACGCAGTGATGCTTGAACGAACGAATACTGCTGTAGCTATCTCTGGCGGCTGCTTTTTCTTCTTTTGACTTCATCCTCACATGCAGGGCCAGATCAGCATCCCCGATCAGCGGCTGCAACAGTGCATGCATCTCGTATCCGGAGTAACGCGTTGTCGAGGCTTGGAATCAGGCGAGTACGGCATAGCACTTACATAGGTAGGTACATAACCTCTCATCACATCATGCCAACACCACATATGGATCTCCATTCGCTAAGCAAATCATGGTGTACATACTGAGTAGTAGAGAGGATGTTCAAGTGGGTAGTGATGTGATCTATAATAGTAACTGAGTACCTAGGCCTGCATAGCGCACATTGCAGTTACCTAAGGTACTAACCTAACCTCCATTCGCAGTACGTACCATATACAAAACGTCAAGTCTCCCTCAACTGCCATCTTCGATTTCATTCCAATTATCTCAGCCACCAAACCTAAGCCAAAGTCGATTATCCCTTCAATCAGAACCTCGATTGATATTAAATCCTCGCTTACTTCTCGATCTGTGACACAATTCCCATGTCGTCGTCCTAGCGTAGCCTTGTGGAGTTGAACAAAAAGCTTGACTCAGCATAGAAATCCTGCCAAGTTCCCTTGTGCGTTTGGCAATTGCTTAAACAGCGGGACTCATTTGTCGTTCCTTTAAAATTGATGCAAATAGAGATCTTGACTTCAAAAAGACGGCGACTTTGCAAAAAAATTCCATCATGTAGTTACTGGAGTGGAAATGTCTCTTCCTAGGGCAGTAAATCCGAATCCAAATACATTAACAAGTAAATAATAATTACATGCCTAAAAAAGATATCGCCTCATGAATCATCATCCCATCGAGGCCGATTCATGATAATGGGTCTCGCGGGATCCCACGGTCCTCGTATCTCGTTCTTGTACTTCTGAAGCCCTATCAGCCACCAGCTGCAGCCTCCTGTAGCCAGTATGGCAATGAGCATTCCGACAATCATGCCCACTAGTCCACTCTTCCATGGCCATCCAACTGTGTTCTTATCGTATCCCAGTATTAGGCCGACTCCGAAGCTTGCACCTAGTACCAGCAGAATGGCAGAGAGGATATGGAAGCGCCAGCTTCGATGTCGTACATAGCGTCGAAACACTGGAAACAACCCAAACACCTCGATGCTGAAGAGTGTCAGACTGAACACTTGCTTGGTCGATGGTAGTCGGCTGGCGAGTACAGTCGATGCCATCAAAGCAGCATTTGTGGACAGCGATGCTGGAAACTTGGCGCCCACACCTCCAGAGTAGTCAAAAAAGAAGATGTTGATCGCGAGAAGCCAGAAAGACATAGCCCAGATGCTGTCGCTTGATGTTGATAGCGTTAGCGACTTGAGAATGGGGCTCAGTCCGAGGAGCGTGCAGTAGATAAGAATCGCAGACTTGACTGTCTCCATCCTCTGTCGATATCGATTTTCTTCTGCCAGGAGGGGGGGCGGGAGTTCAGGGAGATGTTCCTGACTCGCTCGTGGAGTGTGTGTGATGCCACTGGCCAGGGAGGTCGTCGAAGCAGACTGAGCTCGATGCATCGTAATGGGCGCATGCAGGTTGGTTGTTGAACTCGCAGCCGAAGCGACAGCAGAGGGTGCGGCGGTAGACGGCGCCGACTCGACCCGGAGCGGAGGTGGACGCCGGATACTGCCCGTGCGGGTTGGTCGCCTTAGACTTCCAGTCCGACCGGCCCTTCCCATCACATTCGCTGCAACGCCAAGACTCGGATCGTCCGTGTCCTCAATTTCTGAAAGCCAACGTTCCCAGAGGATCCATCCTACAAACGTCGCGAAGCTGCTCCAACTTGTGACAGCAACAGGAGACACGCGCTCCTGAAATATGCCAACAAAACAAACAACAAATATTATGACTGAACAGACGTGCTGTAGTATGACCGTAGAGTCAGCGACGAGTGGCCAGAAGTCGTATGGCTTGAGACGAGGGTTGCGCTGGAGATTCTCGAGGAAGGTCGCTTGATCTGTGTAGTTATCGGGGTCTGTAGGCTCAATTGTTAGCTGCCATTGTCCAGTACAAGAATTTTCCGAGGCCTACACGACTGCTTAACCCACATCAGCTTCTTCCATGGGCGTTTACGTCTTCGGCTCCGGCCTCGCGGCCCTCGAGGAGGCGACACAAAGGCATCGTCAGGGGAAAGATGAGAACGACCGAAGCCATGGAGGGCCGAGTGGTCTAACGAGGGGAACGGCGTCTCGTCGTCGGTAGGGGGTGGCATGCTATCGAGAAGGCATTGGAGGCGTCGGGATCTGGGTCCGGGTCCGGGATCGGGATCGGGGGGTTGGCTTGAACCTGGACTTTCTGTTGGTGAAGTTGGAGCCGGAGCTGAAGTTGGAGGCTGGTGTTGATGCCAATTGACACCTGTAATGAGTGGGTCGCCCAGGGTTAGTGGACTTGGAGATCGTGCCGTAGTGTCTCCCGTCATGGAAATGTATGGGATGGATCTACAAAGCAAAGTTAGACTATAGACAAGTGCGTGCGCGAGCCTGGACGTAGCTGTGTGAGCTGCGCTGTAATGTACTGACTGTACTGTATGTAGGTGGCTAGTAAAACATCCATCCCATGCTTTGATAGTTGAGATGTGACTGGCTTATCGTCATCTCCAGCTCCCACCGGAGGATGTTGATCCTGCAGCAGTACAATATTCGTATACGCAAGTACCTCCTTGGGTATTCCTTGTCTCTCGGATTTTGTACCTCGACTGTTGAGGTACCTACCTACTTCTCACTTCAGGCAGGAGGATAACAGGAAGGATGGAGCTGTCTTATGGTGGGGTCGGTGATACACTTGCAGCTTCCCACTCATAGGCAGGCAAGCTTGGAACTGCACAACTGATGGTGCAGTCACCATCAGGGCTCAGTAGCACAAGTTTTCTCTCTCATCTCGTCTCCTCTCGTCTCCTCTCGTCTCCTCCCGCAAAGTCGAAATACGACCATACAACAAACACGATAGGAAATGTACTGATGCGCGGACCGAGAATAAAAAAGCAGCTTTGATCAACACTCGGGCCGTTTCACTACCCTATACAAGCAGAGTCAACTCAACCGCCTGACGACTCCTCGTCACTCGCATGATTTCACAAACAGCACCTTGCATTGCAGGAGGAGAGAACACCGCCAGAGAGAAAACTCAGGTCTGGCGGCTACAGTGCGATCTTCTTGATGACATTGGATACCGAAAGTGACAACATTGAGTATACGCAGATACGCATGTACACCGATGTTTCAAGCAGTCATCAGCCATTCCAATATTGAGCACATCACCGCCCTTCCTTCGATCCACCACCCACCATCTCATCCTGCTTGACCAGCCAGTCTGCCTTGGCATATTCAGTTACTTCTAACCGAGAAACTGGGTTGATATGCTAGACATGGTTCGTGGATACGCAGCATACAGAACGAACCGTGCAGAATGCAGGCCTTCTCTCCCCGTCACACCTATAAAACCGCATAGTTATCTCCACTCCTCGATAGCGACCACTTCGCGTCTGCCAGCCAATGGATCAAGTGAGCTCTCCCGATCCTGAGAGATCGATTTGGAGAAAAACGTGGTCTCGGGACCCAGAACCAGCCACGCACCCGTACCTGCTGATGTGCTGTTATCGGAGAAATTGGATCATGTCGATGGCAAAATGAAATAGGAGCCCGGTGTTATTGCCCGATATCCATTTGCTCAGCCTTCACACTCAAATCCATCATTATCTGCAGTCACCAAGGATGCCCGCTGCCTGCCCCAAGTCAGATCTCACTGCCAATCATAGCCAGACTTGGTAAAGGCGTTCATTCTTGGACTGTCCCAGAACCAGTTCACCGGCACCAATCGCGTACTATCCCGCCTCAAGTTAACAGGCTCCACACGGGGTTACCCGACATCCCTTGCAGGTTCCCGTCCAAGCCCTTCCGCCTCACTTCAAGCACATTATGTTAAGCCAACCATACCGCTGGGTCCATACCAAACTCGCAGTTTTTCTCTACAGTACGGAGTGTACATATGATCGGAAGATGACTCAGTGCATCCACCGCAAGAAAGAGGACACATCTTAGATTCCCAACAGCAGAAGAAGGTCGAAGCAAGTTTGGAATGGATAACCAATTAACCCACTCCTTTGGTGTGTTTAGTTGAGCTGAAAGTGTCTGTTCGCGCGTTGACCCACGTTCTCGGACAACTGTCACCTACGGATACTAGCCTCGTGATAGACAATCGACATTCCCGGCATCATAAGCGGTCACCTCCAGGCTCCAGATGACTGTATGTAACTGAGGAGATTGCACTCCGGGCTGAGGAGGTCCTGATTCTGATTGATCTCTCCGGCCCTAGCATCGCGTCGTATCGGTCCTGCCCACTGGCAGGCTTTTGCGTCGTATGCAGCCACGACTGGGATAGTCTGCCACCGTCCAACTCACATCAGGCCATTATCCAAGACATAGCATAATTCACTATTGCTATAGACACACGGACTGACCGGTTGTCTCGAATGCTGAGCGTTGTCTTTTGGCTGTTTCGACTCCGTACGTACACAACGAGATATCCTATCAAACACTTGACCAAAAAAACAAGACAAGACTATAAATCATACTTGAAGCAAGAAGATGAGCTAAAAGGGCGGCGAGGGGAAACGACGGGCGTTGTGAGGCTTTTGCCAGAATTGCTTTTTACAAGACAAGTGAGAGTCAAGAGGTAAACAAGGAGCGCGAAATGTTCGATCAAGTGTGATCGTCCACTTAACATCTTGCACCATCTGCGGCTCCCCCGGTCTCATCACCACTCTGTTCCTTGGAAAGCTGTCTCATTGGTAGGTTGACCGAGACATCAGAATCCGCCATGCAGCCTGCCGCCATCGAACCGCTGAGTGCGGTGTCGGTGAACCATCCCGGTTTTAGTAGGCTGTGACACAGTATGTACAGCACATAGTCTATCTACTATCTACCACCTACATACCTTACATGCATGCGTGCATGCATGTATGCACCGCGTCCGACGATGGCTTCACGAGGATCAATTATTTTCCCCGCCCCGGACGTGCCGCAAACGGTCATGGTCCCCCCCCTACTTGTAGGTATGACACCGTTTCCGTCTGTCCTCGTGAGAACCCCTGCTCTGGTGTTCGACACTATATACCCGACGTGAGATTAAAACCGCCGCCGATACCTCTTGGTTGGCAGCCAAACTTTGATGTCTTCTGCTGGTCTTTATTCCTTGGAGTTCATATACTCCACCCTCTATTTACTATGATGGACATGTCTTCTTCGTCTCATGATCTCGAGACCATCTCGTCTTTGTCCCTCTCCACCTCAGCTACGACCGACTTTAATTCTTTACCAACAGAACTTCGTCTCAAGATATGGTCAAGAGCTAGTGAGCCCCGTATCGTTCTATATGGTGATCTGGTTCAAAAGAGCCGGTCTTATCCCTTGCCTACTGTTACTCAACTCACTGCGGAGTCGCGAGATGAAACCCGCGTGGGGTACGAACCAATTGGTAATGGATCATACTTCGACTTCTCCAGGGACATCCTCCTCTGTGACCACAGGATCTCAGATCAGGTGACCGACCAGTACCTAGATGGTCTTGCCCCGCGGATACAGCGTCTTGTCTTCTGGGACTGCTTCCCTGATGATGGACGGGTGGAGGGACCCTATCACTACTCTGTCTATCTATCGGCGTGTTACCGGCAGCCAGATTTTGGGAAAATCGAATTCGACAGGTTTTGGTTCCCTAACGTGGATGATATGTGGATTGTCAAGGTGGGGGAAATCGACCCGGCGTGGATGGTCCAGGTGAATCCAGAATTGCCATACAGAAGGCGACTTCAACAGTTGGCGAAGCAGTTCAGATACTGGGTGGACGAGAACATCATTGAGATGGCACCCCTGGACCTGAGTGAGCCAGAAGCACAGGCTGTCTTGAAAGACGGCCGTTGCGGAAAAGAGGACTGCCACGAACTCAACAGACAGCGCAGTATTATGCTGTCCAAGGTTGCCTTCCTCGACGGCAGATACAGGGCCCCTGATGACGGACAGAAATGGATCCGAATCATTTCATGGCAAGCTGGTGAAGAGAAAGTCGTCTACGAAAACAGAATGAGATGGGTGGTTGTTGAGAGAATTCTGACGTTTGATTTGCAACGGGATGGATGGAGCGAATCTGGAGTGGAAGTGAGACGACGTAGCATTCAAGGTAATTGAACTCGATGGGGGATACCTTTGACAGGCGCAAGGCTCTGAACGATAAGAAGAGTACCTAGGCCCTGAACGACTAATATGTGCGTGAAGTTCAACAGCGGCACCAACACAGGGAAGAACAAATTGACACTCGCTGAGGGTAAATGAAGATGAGACATGGAGAGGGGATCAGGTTTCTGAAGAGAACTTGTTGGACTATCATGTCCAACCAGAAATGACGGACACAACGATCGGAACACGCTGTCGTCTAGCGCTATCATTATGGGCAACTCAATGACGAAACAGGCAACGGTATCTAATTGTTTAAATATTCATTCGAGACATACTGAGGTATGTTGTTTCTGTTACGTATTGCATTTATAAATTTCATTTTTCAAACAAGCAGAACAGAATAATTAAAGAAGCGACAAAACTGAAAGACTATTTCCTCAATCCTCAGGTAGACCTGCATATTATAAATGAACTTTTGAACATCCACTGTTGTTCTTGTATTGCGCTATAGTTCAAAGTACTTCAGCTTGGTTATCTGACATGGAACATCCTATCCCATCTCCCCTCGTACTGAGATGGACGATGTGATGGTGGTGTTCAGGCGAACAGAGGAGGATAACATCACATCACATCACATCTCTGTTCATTGGAAGGCCGTAATGAACAGAGATGTGATAACATGAACAACGCCTAGAAAATGATGAACATCTCTTCTTTATACTGATGTCCCAGACATGAATTCGACTATAAAGCAAAGATATTCCGCAGCTAGAATGGCCCGGCACACACGAAGAAGAGATCCATCTCAACATCGCAAGTTCAGCAGCTTTGGACATACCCACAAACTTGCCACCTCTATCATGTTTTCGGTACTGCCCAACACCGAGCAAGTGATACTCGCTACCATGGGTAGTGATATCCACAAGCTCATTGGCCCCAAAATTGTCAGTTTCTTCCCTGAACGAGCATCTAGAAGCGAAGATGACTATCGCAGCATCGAGGCAATGATATACATGGGCGGATCTCATATGCCCAGACCTGGACAATATCAAGTGTTCGAGCGACTTCACCGCACTCGCTTCCAAGACAGGAACCATCGGTCGAGGCGAATGTCTGTTACAAAGGACACCTTCTTGACACACAACATGGTCATCCCAAAGCCTGTGCCCTCGCAGTTTGGATATCCTCATGGATACGACCTTATCAGTCTTGACCTGCATCTAGTTGCGTCAACTTTTGATTATGAAGACGCAATTCCACACATTCAGTTGACAGACTATGCTTGGCGACCCTTGAGCCTCAAGACGTTCCCTCACCTTGAAGAGTTTACTATGATGTGCCTGCGACCTACCAGCTGCAGCGGCCAAAGTCATTTGCCCTTCCTCAATTCCTCAACAGACGGACGATGTGAGTACTATGGTTTCCGCTACCACCAAGATACCCGACGCGTGGAGTACACTCGGCTAATTTGGTCTGACGTCGCAGAGCTTGCATCTGCTGGCGAGGATCTTACAAATGGGCTATTTCCTTATACAATTGTCCGTTTGTGGATCGTCGGACAACGTCGCGGTCGGTATAGGATGCCAAGAGAGCTTGAATGGACGCACCTAGACCAGGTGTATCCAAAGTCTAGTGAGCGCTATCTCAGCAGAATCAGAGACTTGTGGGTGCTGACTCGAATGAGACTCGAGAACCCGATCCGAGATGAGACATGTCAGATGGTAGTCTGATCGACTTTGGATAAGTATTTTGCCGTGTTTTCGGAAGCAAAAGGATTGGGATGTGAGTTTGAGTTGAAATTGAAGTTGCTTCGTTTGATGCTTTGGATGGAATGCTGGCCGTTACTCTCTCGCATTTGTGTTTGGTTTGTTAGTTTACCCCGAAATCATTAAAGAAAAAAAAAAGAAAGAAAAGATTTTGGATATTATTATTGCATTAGGATCTGTGACTTGAACTGCTGTTCTGTTGCTAGGCAAAGAGTAACAAGTGTATGCTCTTGCCAGGCAGATGATTGTCTGTCTACCTATAAATCTGGTCAGAACAAGGCCCAAGAATTGATGTCATGTCGTCAGTGCAAAAAGAAGACATCACAACTGAATAATTGTATTGGTGCGACAATTGTTGATATGCCAGATGCCATTCTCGCTTTATTGACAAAGCAGTTGCTTAGATGTTGTTGCATGCATACCTGGGCTTTATGACCCTGAGTTACTGCAACCGAGCACCAACAGTATACCCAAGGCATTGCAATTCCTCAACCATGACTACCAGCATCCTTTTGACGTGATATTCATAAATATGGCAAGCAAGTGTTGTGTAAAAAGATACATATTCGACTCCGACACATGAAGTTCCAGCGCTCAAACAATCTAGCCTCCATTAGTGTACACAGCAATGGGCTCGTCAAATCCGATAGCGCTCCTACAGCGATATTATATTACGTTCCTCCGATCGTTTCGTTTCAAACTTGAAGCTCGTGACCATTCTCCTGCTGATTTCCGTAGCCTGTTGCCCAGACTTATACTAGCAGCTGAAAGGCCCTGCATTCGTGAGGGGAAAGAGGACTCAACTCTCTCCCAGTTACGAGGCATCTTTGCGTCGTCCTCGCTATCATCCAAGGCTGGACCAGGAAGCATCATCATATGTCTTTGCCCCTTGAGCATGGCTCCCTGAAGGGCTGCCCATGATTCAACCTGGCCATCTGCTGCCTCCTCCACACAGTTGCACTCGTCGCCTGCGGGGCATTGCGTTTCGCCAGCAGCATGCCACTCTGCTAGACACGCCTCGTGACTTGCACAACCACAAGCCAAGCATGGAGGGAAGAGAGCATCCACAGGCTCAAGGCAGTACACACATCTAAGCTGACTCTGAGTTTGATGGCAGCGATCACATGTACCAACAGCACCACCGACCTTGGAGTCACTGGAAGTATAGCGAAGTGGTTCCAGCTGTGTTTCGTGTATACGGCACATCCCTGTGACATCAAGACCGCGACCTGATGCAAGCAGCGCTTGAAGCTGATCCTTCTTGCCCATGGCAATGGGCGATGAGTTATGTGCTTTGCCATCGTGACCAGCGCCTGGCTCATGGAAGGCGTCGTCACTGTGCGCTCCAGTCATGTCCTCCTTGAGCGAGTTGAATTTCATAATCTCGAGTCTGGAGAGTGGTTGGTTCCACATTTGCAGCATTTCAGCATAGGCATATCGATAACGAGCATGGACATCTGCCTGACTGGACTCGAGCATGGATACGTTCAGCCAACCATCATCGTCGAAGGCGGTTTGATCCTCCATTGTGATGGCAATCTTTGTGGGCACAAGTGACAGATAATCATCCCTCACATAATCGTCATCATCCAGAGAGGTTCTCCCACCATTCGAGTCCATCGCGGTCGACGCACTCCATGTAACATTGCCTGGAGCCAGACTGCTGAGAATCGTCTCAGCAGGGCTGGGTCTCTTTCTTACTTGATTTGGAGGTGACGACGAGCTGACTCCTGCAAACGAACGTGGCAGGTTGGCAGCAAAGGCTGATGCCAGACCCGAGTTTGCTCTATTTAGAAATCGTGTGTTTGGAGACGTAGACACGCTGGGCGGTGCCTCAACTTCCCCTAGATACCCCTTGAATTTATTTGGCGGCGTCTCTCCACAAGAGTACGAGTTCGATGCTGCATCGCCACCCCATATGCCATCGTCTGACGCCTGGGATCCAGAATAGTGGACAGGAGTGTGCACTGTCATCGGTGTTGTAATAGCTGAGTTGGTATAACTGCGTCCACCAATATTCCATAGTGAGGCATCAGTGGGGAAGTAGTCTAGCGAGAAAGCTGGTGCCTTGAAAGGGAGCGGAGTTTCGGGCTGCGG